GGAGGAGTCTTTGGGACTGAACTCTGTAAATGGCAAGGACCAGTTTGAGAACTGGTAGCATCAAATATCAGGCAAAGTAAGTTCTCTTCTCTCAGTAGAGGGCACAAAACAGAGAGACAACTCAGGAAGCTGAGAAACTGCTTAAACCCAGGTATTTGCATGGCTTGCAAGGTAACAGGAACAAAGATAACGGCAACCTTGAACTAAACCATGTATTTGCCATATATTATTTATATACATTTACTATATTTTTATAGTTGATATATTCAAAATAGATTGGTTCTTTACTACTGCTCCTCAGATCTGCAAGTACATCTCTTACAAAATTATCACCTCATCTACCTTCTTTCTCATAGTCTGATACAGAGCAAATCAAGCTAAAGACAAATGTTCTATAAGTCATAATATTGATTTGAAGCTTATTCCTTTTATTTGAGTTCTGAAAGAAGAGCATCTATTCCCCAAAACTTCTCAGTCAAAGTGAAAATAATACCCTGATTGCACCTGGCATTCTATAATTATTACTTTTAAATACTGTAACTGTCTTTTTGTGTTGTTTTCCCACATTTCAGGAGCACAGTTTGCTTTGAAAAAGGAACTCATTTACACTAGTAATAGTATAATTTGAGTTGAACTTGAGTTTACATTCTCAGATGTCACCAATGCATTTCCCTGCCTGAGGACTTACAAAACTTCAGTACTTAGATAAAAAAAAGGAGGTCTAAGAGCAAAATTTGACAACAGAAATTCATTGCTGCTTTAAAAGTAGAGATGGTCTCTCTGTCTCTCTCTCAAAAATAGCCATAAGACTGAAAAGATTGAACAAGTGAAAAATCCAAAGCCAAAGTCTTCTGCCATAAGAGCCACAGGAAGGTTTTACCTATTGTCTCTAAAAAGGTATTTATGTTTTCCTAACAAATAAAAAGGTAAACAAATGTTACTTGACGTGGCAATCAACTGTTTCATCATTAATAACAGTCTTATCATTGGTGCCTACTGATTAACTGGAATCACACTGGACCCTAAATTACCACTATCAAGGAAGTGGCTAATTAAAGATTATTTTAGTTCAGAAAATAGCTGATGCTTGTGAGGATGATTGTGGTATATGGAATATTGGAAGGGACAGAAGAGACTTTTTTGGAAGAAGAACGAGACAAAGATTTTCAAAAAGGTCAAAAACTCATGAGTAGAATTTCTGTTAACAGTAATTCAGTTTGACAGGCCTCAGCTTTTGCAGAAATATTTTCATCTTTAGAATGAAGTCTCAAACATTTTAAGCTAAACAAAGCCAGATAGATAAAACTAAAATAAGATTCACTGTGGAAAAGCAATAGCCCCTATACAGCTAATACTGAAGCCAGTTTTCCTCCTGGTCTATTTTGCTAAAAGGAGCTGCAATAATTGCTCCTATTTCCTGATTGTGCCTGCGTTCCCAGAAATATCTTGCCAAACAAAAAAAGGAACAAGAGAGGTGTAGTTAATAATCTTGTCACATTGTCCTTTCCTTTCCTCTGCCACAGATCTTCTCTATTTTCCATTGCGTCACATGAAAAGCCTGGTGTCAAAAAGACCTGAGTATCTTAGATTTCCATTCAACTAAATGGAGTTTACAGGAAACTCTCTGTGTTTGTTACATCTTTCTAACACGGAGCAATTTTTCATACCTAAAATCCAGGAGCACTTACGGAACCATAAAAAGTTAATCCTAGATCTGCGTAAGTTCAGGTTATGCCAAGCCACTCTCCAGGGGCTATTTAAATCAATATATGTCCTTCTGCATTTTGAGTGATAGCCTTTGGTAGAAAGCATTTCCCTGTGGAAGTGCCACTTCTTGTTGATATGAATAATGTTTATGGAAAAGTGTTCCACTTATGCGACCACCAGGTTCTCCAGACTGACTGCTCTGGGTGCATCAGCTTCTTTATATCCCTCTCCACCCTCCTTGTGAGGGATGCAGTGGCATCACACGGAAGATTTTTGTGTTTAACTTCCAGGACTAGTCACACTGTTGCCATATCATAATGTGATTTGCAACGTAACCTTTGTCCAGCCAGATGTTCTCATCTTCCCATAACACTGCTTTTACAATACTTACAGATAACAGTAGTTTTATGTGGGCAGGAAATTCTTTGAAAACATATGTAATACAATCTTCTTTCAGAAAAAAACAGTGTAAGACCTAGTTCTACAGCAGTGTCAGTGAAAGCCCTTACCATGTATTTCATAGCAGACTTCAAAGACAAACTACTTCTTCTCTGGCAGAAGCTGCTTATTTTGCTGTAACTTTCTTGTCTAACATTTGTGTGTTCTGCTTTTAATTGCAAATCTGGAATTGAAGCTCTGTGGAGCAGGATACACTCTATTCTCTCAGGTAAGCAATGTGCCCTGTCCCTGTGGAGGGGTATTGCCCTGTGACTGTTCCAAGTTGTGTTTGTTTGATGTTGTCTTCCTCAACACACCCCTTCTCAAGTAAGGACACAAGAGCCTCTTCCCGAAATACCACTTTTCCCCAATGGAAACATGTGAAAGATGTTAGCTATGAAAGTTCATGTCACAGCTACAACCTATTTTTAACGATAATGTGCTTTAAAGTACAGATAAGGTATATTTCAAGTACAAATTCCTCTTCTAGTATCCTAGAAGTGATGGAAGGAAGAATATTTTAGCACTTTCTGAGTATGAGTTTCTGTGCTACAACACATGCACTGAACAAAAGAATTAAAATAATCTAGAAAGAGGCTCTAAAACTGTCATTTTGTGCTGTGCTGTCATGAGTTTGTTCATGATAACTTGGTCATTGAAACTATGAGTTTCATTTGGTAAGTTGATTTTTTGCTGTGAGTATTTCAAGGAACTCTCAGGAATATCACCGCTATGGATTTATATAGATGCACCAGAATCATTTCTTGTGACTAGACTATGATTCAGAATGAGCTAGCAGCCTTTTCTAAAGCAGCTCTTCTGTCGTAGCTCTTCATTCCAGAACCTTTAGCTTAAGATTTCCAAAGATTTGTGCTTATGTATTTCTCTTCTGACTGAAAGAAAACAACATAAAGTATGCTTTATATGTTTATAAAGTATGCTTTATATGTACATATATGAACACACACACATGCATGCAATCCTTTATGTATGTAGCCTGATATAGGCTCTACTGAGCCCAGTGGTTTTACTTGGCTATGAAGGTTCTCATGTATGCCTACATTTGTAGGTCCACATTCAAGGAACTGATTCAGGATTGACTGGGAACAGTGTTTATTTCCTTTCTGAAAGCAGCCCCCCCAGCTTTACCACATTTTTTTTTTTACTTTTTAAAATTTTTATTATTTTTTATTATTTATTTTCTTTACTATTCCTTCCAAAGCTGCAGATGCCGCCACAGCTTTAACTGCCTGTTGTGCGATGAAGAAGCTTAATTAAAACCACGTAGCTATTTGTAGCTATTAGCTCGTCTCGTTAAATACAGACAAAAGACCCTAGCTGAAACGTAAGTGCAGAATCTGGTCTTCATTTTGGTAGGAAAAACAATGGATTTTCTATGAAAAAAATACTATTACCTTCCTTCTTCAGCAACTACCCTCTACCTGCAAAGCTAAATGCCTATGGAAATCCCTATCCCTAGTACTGGCTCATATGGCTAGTGTGGCCCTGGGCAAGGCTCTTCATCTTTCCACATTTTGTAAGATGAAGGAGAAATTCTTGTGTTTTGAGGGTGACTTAATGATTGTAGGGTGGCTTTTGAGGTGTAATACACAATAAATATAACGGACGTTTAATTAGGTACGAAGAATACCCTGCAATTTTCCCTCAAGAGCCCAGGTTCCCGGGGCAGGCTCAGGGATGTGAGCGGCATTGGAGGCTCTTCCACCCTACCATTTAGAAGAACCACTGAGGTAAATGTTGTCACGCAAGGGAATACCCAGCGCAAACACCGCAGGAGGCTCTGATTTGAGAGGCAGGTGGCCACGAGGTGACTGAACGACCAGCCCAGCGCTCGGCACTGTGGCCTCCAGCCACCAGAGACTTTGCTCCGTGCCGCGCATCCCGTACCGCCGCTGCGGGCAGAGCCCAAGCAATGGAAACGCTGGTGGTGGCACCGTTGGGGGTTTCCGTGTTTGGGAACTGGGTTCCCAATGAACTGAAAACTCCTGATTGATGGCTGCACGTGTTGGGCTGAGGCTGTGGGTCAGTGTGTGGTCGTGGGCACAGGCTCTTCCCGCTCCGTTTTGGAGGTGGCCTCAGGTGCCTGTTGCTGCCTCAGCACCAGCGGCACCAGAGCACGGGTCAGGGGCCGCCAACAGCTGCTTGCTCCAGCCTTCCCGCCAGTGGGAATGTGGCTGGATGCTACCAGGAGCCGTGACTACTCATGGCAGCTCCAGCCCTGCATCCAGGTCCTGGTCTACATTCAGATCCACATCCAAGCCCAGATCTGAATTCAGATCCAGGTCCACATCAAGGTCCAGATATGGATTCAGATCAAGGTCCCTATATGGATTCAGACCAAGGTCCCTGTATGGATTCGGATCAAGGTCCCTATACGGATTCAGACCAAGGTCCCTGTATGGATTCGGATCAGGCTCCAGATGCCGATTCTGACCCAGGTGCCGGTACCGCTCGGGGTGGCTCCCGCTCCCCTCAGGCCGGGCCGCCTCGCGCTGCCCCCCGCGCCGGGCCGGGCCGGTTCGGGCCGCGCTGCCCCGCGCGCCGGCAGCGCCACCCCCCGCAGCCACCCCGGCGCCCCCGGCCGCCCCCCGGCCAGGCACGGGAGCCGCCTCGTCCCGCCCCCGCAACCGCATCCGGGCGATGATTGGCCCGAGCCGCCCGTCACTCGGCCGCGAGGCCGCGCCGGGTTGGCGGGCGGCGCCGTCACTCGGCGGCGGGGCCGCGCCGGCCCCTTGTTGTCACGGCGCCGCGCGGGGCTGGGGCTCTTCGCGCCGCGGAGCCGGCAGCGCCTCCCGCCGCCGCTGAGGGGAAGGCGACGGCGAAGGGGGCGCCCCCGCCATGGCCACCAGCACCACGGGCTCCACGCTGCTGCAGCCGCTCAGCAACGCCGTGCGCCTGCCCGTCGACCAGGTGAGGCGGGGGGGTCCCCGCCGAGGCGAGGGGCGGCGGCCCCGCCATCCTCCCGCCGCGGCCCTGCGGGCGGCGA